TGTCTGTTTGTGTGCCTATCTATGTACACAGAGTGAGGAGGAGGATGGTGGTTATCCCGCTCTGTCATCCCCCCTCGGCTCCTTCTAGCCCTGCCCCACAGTGCTAAGGTTACAGGTACATGTTCAGTCACATCAGCCACATTTGACATGGGTGTCGGGGATTTGAACTCAGGTATTCATGCTTACCCACTGAGCCATCCATCTCTCTAGGCCCTCCACAGAGGACTATACAATGATTTATTTTTATTTTATTTTTGTGTATGAGTGTTTTGCCTTCAAGTGTATCTTTGTACCATGTTCATGCAGTGCCTACAGAGGCCAGAAGAGACCATTAGACCCCCTAGAAGTGAAGTCACAGACAGTTGTGAACCGCCACGTGGGTGCCGAGAATTGTGCGTGGGTCCTCGGCCAGAGTCGCCCGTGCGCTTGACCACTGAACTGTCTCTCCGATCCTCAACAGGAGACTTTTTTTATTGGAGTGTACGATCTTGAAATTGTCTTAACTCAGGCATGTTTTATGTTACAACTTTCTTCTATTTTAAAATTTCTTTATTTTTTTCCTTTTAGCCTTCTCATCGTCTGTTCCCAGTCCCTGACTCATTCTCCTTAGGAGGAGGGGAAGGGGGGTTCAGGTCGAGGAAGAAGAGGGTCCGTGAGATAGATTCACAATACACAGAGGCCTGAGGTTTGGGTCTTAGCAATCATTCTTTTGGTTTGGGGATGGAGTTCAAAGGACCTGGGAAGAAGGTGAGGGCTCTAGTTTAGTTTAAAATGTTTATTTGACTCTCTCAAGGGGAGCGCTCTTTTGTTAGTTTTAGGAGCAAGAATACACTTCCCGACAGGTCCAAGAACTCTGGGTCGAGGCAGAAGCCCTGGGCTGCCCATGTGGATGGGCAGGAGTGGACACAGGTATGGTTTGTGCCAAAGGGCCTGGAGCTGGAGCCTGAGATTCCCCCCTGCTCAGGCACGTGCCATTTTATGTTCAAACCCAGAAGGGAAGGTGATCTCAGGTACTCAGAGTGACTCAGCCCCGAAGCATCTGGTGCCCATCCCTCTGGAGATGGGAACTGTCACACCTATTTGGGCCCTGTGAGATGGTGCTTTATTTCCCACCCTGATGTGGTTGGTGTATGGGAGAGGGGGCCACAGTGACACATAGAGAGGAAGTGTGGTGGCCAAATGTTTCCCTGTGGCCTGGGTCCAGTCTCCCTCAGGGACTGCTCTTCTTTGGTAAAGGATCTCTTTGGGAGCTGGTACACCCGGAATTGTGGAAGGAGATGTAAGTTCCTCCTGGTTGGAGCAAGGAAGGGTCTTGGCAGGATATTCATGGCTTACAGTTCTGGAACAGGTCAGGAGTCCAAAAGAGGAGTCCTCAATCCTCCTTAATCAATCATCAGAAAAAAAAACTTTTTGTCCTAAATACATCAAGATGTTTCCTGAACAATAATGTCACAGATCTGCAGAGGCATGGACACTCCACAGTGTGGGAACAAACCCTGAACGAATTCTGCCAGACCCTGACCAAGTAACTCTCCGGTCCCCTAAGCCTTAGGGCCTAAGGCTTGTTGAAATCCCCTGCCCCAGTGCTGAAACTCCAGCCTTCCCCCTCACTGCCATTTGGAACTAACTCAGTCTCTCACTATCACCTGCATCCTGATAGCCTGGGCAAGTCAGATTCCAAAGATAAACCGGCCTTGTCTGGATCAACAGCTCCAGGAGGCGGAAACTTGCAGGCTTGCCCGTAGCCCCAGAAGTGGAATTTAACTTCCCCTTTCCCAGACCTCCTGTATAAACTCCAAGTTTCTCCTTCCCCTTTGGCAGGTAACCCCCTCTCCCCTTTCCTGCTCTGTCTGCCCCCCACCCCGACTCCCACCCCCCAGGTCAGACAGGCCTCTTTTTCGCCTCCTGTCTCTAAGCTGCCTGGGAAATCTAGCACTTAGCCAGTAGGTTACTTACTGTTCTGAGTGGCTTCCTGCCTTCCCACCCAGTCCTCTCACCCGTGATAGAGGGCATTGTTTCTCCCCCTTTCTTCTTCCCACTTGGGCCTGGACAGAGCAGTGGCCTGAGTCTAAGAAAGGTCAAAGGCTATCATGGAAAAGGGCTGAACCCAGGTGGTTGGCCCACCACAAGCCTGAGGGCAAACTGATAAACTCCAGGCAGTCCTGCCTTTCAGGGCACCCCACCCCCACCCCCCGCTGATGCTGATGTGGGTAAGGCGCCACCAGAACTCAGATGGGAACCACGTCAGCAGAACAGAGGCCAGTTGCTCCCTGAGGCGAAGCTGCATTTTTCAGCTGCTGCTGGAGAAGGGCTGTGGCTGGGCCGGAGGTCTTAGCACAGGGCTGTCCTGGCCACCCAGCTATGGCCTTGAGGTGGGGAGAACTGCTGTTTTATACTCCGTATAACACAAATGCAGACACATTGACTTCATCTGTTTTGTTTTGTTTTGTTTTGTTTTTTTTTTTTTTTTTTGGTTTTGGCTTTCAAGACAGAGTTTTTCTGTGTAGAACTTGCTCTGTAGAACAGGCTACCTTTGAACTCAGAGATCTGCCTGCCTCTGCCTCCCCAGTGCCGGGACCAAAGGCCCGTACCACTCCCAGCTCCATTCCTGGTCTTTCCCTTTCCCACCCAAAGTTTGTTCTCTGCTCTCTGGCCTCCATCCCATCTCTCTTAATTTTGTCACCTGTGAAGCCGTCTCCCCTCCCTCCTCATACCACACAGGGCTGATGGGGTAACACCATTAAGTCTGCTGAGAAACGATGATTTGACCCAAAAGTAGAGCGGTGGAGAATCCGCAGGCCTGGCAAGTCCGGACTGCTCCCTAGGGAATTCATCATCCTGCCCAAGACCCCCGTAAGAACTGTCAAATAAATACGGCAACACTTCTGTTTAGGACAAGAAATCCACATCTTTTTATCTCCCCCACCAAGCAAGACTTTTATGCAAAAGATTTTAATAACCTTTCCACCCAGTAAAATATTTGTTTACGCCCAGGCCCTCCTGGATTCTGGGAACTCGATGGCCTGGAACAGTGACCCCTGACCTGACCCTTAGGAGCGACAGAGACCCCTTCCTCGTTCAGTGCCTGTGCATTAATTCCTTTCGGGCCAGCCAACTGAATACCACCGTGAGGACCCCAGGCAATGGGGGAAAGACAATCACCTCTTGAGTGAGAACAAAAACCAAATGCACTTCCTGTCCAGGTGTGTTCACTCTTCAGAGTAGTCAAGTGTTGATCAGTAGTAAAATTTGCCTTCTCCGGGTCCTTTCAGCTGGAATTGTGGTCTCTTTCTTCGCAACCTGGAACTTATCTCTAAGGCATTTGCATTTAAAGCTCCTTTCCCAAGAAACAGGAAATCCTCCCTGGGTGTGGCTGCTGACTCAGCAGAGGGTTACCTGGCAATAAAGTGAGAGCTTGGCTAACGTGTGAGCAGAAGAGGAGAGGAAGTGAGCAGATTTCGGTGTTGAAAACGGATGTTTTGGGTGTTCAAATGAGTATTCATTTTAAAGCCATCCAGGGCTGGCCCTCCCCGGGGGGGAAGAATGGAAGACCCTCTGGGGTTTTCTATTTAAAACTTCTCCTTTATTTTGACATTCACTTGGTTGTGTTCCAAGTTATCAAAGATGCAAGACAAGAAATCTGCAGCAGGAGTAGTGGAGGGGTGTGGAGAAGGCTGGCGGAGGGGACAGGCTCGCCCTTGGCCCCTCCTCCTTCTCTTCCTGTTTAGGGTTCCGTTGGAAGCGTGTACAGATTGTGTCTCGTGGGACAGACTCCACAGCCCAAAGGGCAGCACAGCTGAGTTGGGTGAGCTTTGCCCTCTCCAGGATGGAGCCCACGGAGCTATAGTGAAGAGAGAGGTGGGCAGGCAGGCGGCCTGAGCCGAGGGTGGAGCCTGTGCCTTGAGTGACGTGGGCTGAGGGAGGACCGTGTGCCTCCTCCCCTCTGACATCCGGGATCCCGATGGATTGGCCGTGTGGATTAAAGCCGAGAAAGCTACAGGAGGCGCCAAGGCGAAGGGCGCTTTGTACCCAGAGACCCTGAGTACAAACGTGGGTGGCAGTTGCCTGGGCTGTCCCGCTTTGCCCACAGGCATTGGTATGATGATGGCATTGTGATTTGGGTGGAGGAGTCTAGAGCTGTGGAACCACAGGAGAGCAAGGCACTGGGCTGGTGGTGAGGAGGTGGGAGGAGCTGCCAGGCCCAGCAGCAAGTCAAGGCCCAGGATGGGCAGATGGTGGGATTGGGTGCCCTGGAGCTGCCGAGTCACCCCTTTGCCCCAGGAGACCGGTCTCATCAAGCCTCCTGCTGTGCCCTCCTGTAGCAGTGCTGTTCACTCGAGGTTGCTCTGTAGGGGGTCGGACAGACACTTTGTGGTTGTTTTTTTTGAGTCAGGGTCCCAGGGAGCACAGGTTGACCTTGAACTTGTTATATAGCCAACAATGACCTTCAACACCTACGGTAACAATTCCTCTCTTCCTCCCACTACCTCCTGAGTGGTGATGGAATTAGAGGTGTGCCCCATCATGCTGGGTTTCTATGGTGCTGGAGATCGGAACCTGGGCTTTGGGCAGACCTGGCAAGAACTCAGCCATCTAGGCCTGACGTGTTCGCCTTTCACCAGCCATTGTAAGATTTCTCTCTTCTAATCCTGTGGGTTTTCTCCCGCCCCTTTTGTGGTTTCCAGCCCACAACAAATACCCCTGTACTCAGGAATAGACAGGTGGAGAGTCCATCCAGCCCTGCAGGATGAGGGCAAGAGGAAAGAGGTGACTAGCCGATCTTTGTAAGATGTCTTGAATTTGTGGAGCTTTAAGGGACATTTAGATCTTTCTAGGCAAGCTCTGCTTCCCTGGAGAAAATTGAAAGTGTCAGTGAGGATACCTGCCTGGTCCCAGGCTAAACGAGTGAATGAAATATGGCCAATGATTGTCTTCTGCTTCTTAACCACGTGTTCCTTGTTTACAGTTGGAGATGTGAGGTGCAGCCTACTCTTTGTCAAATCAACCAGCCAACCAACCAAGAGTTCAAGAGAAAGACCAGCTCTTCTCCACAGCATTCTGTGACTCAGGAATATGCAGGCATTGACTAGACACCCTTAGAAGTGGCGACAGTGACCCTTGAGCCACAGAGGTAACTGGAGAACTTATCAGGCACACTTACTAAAACAAAACAAAAAAGCAAAAACACCTAAGCAAAACAAAACAAACAAACAGCGACACAAACCCAGAAGGCCACTGCTAGGTGATAAGCGGGAGGTGTGGGGACTTGGGACTAGAATACGACAGAAAAATAGCTCGTCACCAAGAGACTGGAGAGTTAGGGGGCCGAAGGAGGGAGGGCAAGCAAGCTTGAAGTCTAATTACTGAGACAGGGCCAACCTTCAGGAGACACCCCCTCCCCAGAACTCGGGGGGAAAAAAGGCCACATCCCCTGATGTGATAAAATGGTCCTGTTCATAATGTTACATCCTAGATGGATGCTCAAGAGATGCACTGGGCCTCTAGAGGAGCTTGTGCAGGTGCATGGGAACTTAACTGCTGCAGCATTGCCTCTGATCCCTCCTGGTTGCCGTGGAAACTGGCCACTTGAATTGCCTTTTGGTCCCGCTGCTGGAGAACCAGATTTTCCTTTCTTGTTGGGACCCTGGACCCTTCTGCTCTGCAGCTCCTGAAGGAGGCAAAGCCACATGGCTGCTGCTGGTGATGAGTAGGGTACCCCTCCCCCTGGGAATGGGCATGCATACCCCCTCACAGGGTTGACTCTGCAACTGTGGCTAAGTATGGAGGAACAGGGATAAACACTAAGAGCTGTTCACTCGGCTTCTAAAACTGCAGTGATTAAAACGTAGGGAAGCCTCTCTAACAGGGGGCATAAGAAAGGACTTGAAGGGGAAACAAGGTTGTATAGACTCTTCTGGCTATGGTCCCCATAAACAGCCGTGTGCTGTGGCACTTAGCGTCAATTTGATGTGTTTCGTGAGGAGGGGCGAGATAGCAGATGGGTTGTTTCCAAAACGCATAGACCTATCAGAGCAGGCAAACAAAGTAAAAAGAGTGGAAATCAGCTCATTGGCAGATTCCAGCAAGCAAAGCCGGGGGTGGGGTGGGGTGGGGTCCTTTAACAGTTTTTTCTCTCTCTCCTCTCAGATCCTGGAATGTCTAGTCCTCACCTTTCCCTTTGCGTCCATTTCTCCTAGGCATGCCCTCTTCATCAAGGTCTCTGGAAGCCTCCAGAACCTTTGCATACCCTTCCCTGGTGCTCCTTTGCACAGCCCAGCGAAGCCAAGGGTCTAGGCTTACTGGGTGGGGTTGTGGTAGAGCTTGGCTGTTAGAGGGAAATCTCCAGAGAGAAACTGGTGACATTGCAGACTTATCAAGTCGCCGCTTCCGGGCCGCAGGTCCCGCCCTGGTCCTCAATGCATTTAATAGCTCACATCCTAGTGAACCCTCTGCTGTGGAAGCCAGAGAAACTGAGATGGTTCCTGTGGGGCGACTGGAAGGTCCCCTCCACCACTCCATTGCTCCTGCTGGGACTGTGTTGGGTGTGTGCAGACCGGGGTGAAAGGATTATACATCTGTACTAATAGCCCTTGGATTAGTGAAGGCCTCATGCCCAGAACTTGGCCAGGTCACCGGGTAACTCTGAGGTGCTGCCAACTTGAGGGATGGGGTTCCCCCCTCTTTGTAATGTGGAGGGGCAAAGGGGAGCCTCTCGCCTCCGCCCCCGTTGGGCACCATGTCAGCTGTCCGTATGTAGAAGGGGGTGCGGTACGGGGAGCAGGTGGTGCAGTGGCTGGCCACCACCCCACAGGGCTGGCTGCAAGGCTCGCTGGTGAGAGGTGCCAGGCTGCCTCTGCCATCCAGGACTTGGGAGCTGCAGGCATTGCAGGTGGAGGCGCGGGGATGGATGGGAAGGTCGTGTCCCTCCTCTTCCTCCTCCTCCTCAGCATCCTCGTCGTCATCTGTGCTCTTCTTGCAGCAGTAATACTGGGGAGAAGGAGAAGGGATGCTCGAGAGGCAGTCTAGGTCCCCCTGCTCCCAACACCAGTGAGCATGCGCAGGAACGGCCCTCCTCCACCTTTCACCGAATGCCTTGTGCCAGCCACTTGGATGGTGAACTAGAGGCTCCACATCCCATTTATTCCCAGCGCTACCGGGCCAATACTTCTCCCTTTTTCTCAGTGTGTCCTGGTGGACAGGGAGGCACACACACAATGCAGGGACAAGGCTGGGGGAGGCCACAGTAGCTTACAGAGTCTCCCGGGATGGTGGCTTTCCAACCAATCGCTCTGCATTGGAAAGGTGAACGTGAGAGCCCTGCATCTTCCCAGGACACCCCAGTGGTGCCTCTGTAGGGTGCAGGGAATGTGTGTGTGTGTGTGTGTGTGTGTGTGTGTGTGTGTGTGTGTGTGTGTCGGGGGTGGGGGGTACGTACACAGCTCCCCTCTGACTTATGCTTCTCATATTTTATGGCTTTGGGTTTTGTTGCCTCCATAGCGGACCTCCAGTTTCTGCCCCCATCATGGAGAAGTGGCTTGCTGGTGGCCTCCCGGCCTCTGACCATGGGCCCATGGGACTAACCTGGAGCCTACAGTAGCACAGGACAGCAATGATACAGAGGAGGATCACTGTCGCTAGGATTCCGCCAGTGATCACAACCGTTCCCGCTGTCATCCGCCCGGCGCCCCATCAAACTCTGCAAAGACGCATGCCGGTCAGTGAGGAAGAGTTGATCCACATTCTCTGCACAGTAGTAGGTAGGAGGACAGGAGCTGAGTGGACCCAGGCCCGCATGGGCTTCCTGAAGGCAGAGGACTCGCTATGCTTAACCCAGAGTGGGGTGGGGGCTGCGGCTGCCGGAGGAAAAGACAGGCAGAATGCTGACTGCTCTGCTTCTCCTTTAGTCTTTTAGTCTTTCTCTTTTCCTGCTCCTTCTATTATTATTATTATTATTATTATTATTATTATTATTATTATTATTATTAATTATCACTATTATCATTATTATTGATAAATATAATAATTATTATTATGTACATATGCATGTGTGTGTGTGTGTGTGTGTGTGTGTGTGTGTGTACATGTGTGTGCGCCTGTAGAGGTCAGAGGACAACCTTGGGTGTGGTTCCTCAGGTGCCAGCCATTCTTTTTTTTCTGAGACACTCTCCCACTGGCCTGGAACTTGCCCAGTAGACTAGGCTAGGTGGCCACGGACCCTAGGAATTTGCCTGTGTCTGACTCCCTGGTCCTTGGATTACAAAGGCCCACCATCCCACCTGACTTTTAAAATGTGGCTTCTAGGGATCAAATTCAGGTCCTCTTTGGAGACTGAACACGGGTCCTCACGCCTGCAAGACAAGCCCTGTGCTGACCGAGCCATCCCTAGGTCAGAACAGGGCTTCTGCGGCTCCCAGAGGGGCGGCTGGAAGGGCTTTGTCTGTGAAGCATTATGCTAAACAGTCTCCCTCCCCCGGAAATGGCTCAGATCCTCACTGTAACCTTTTGAGACAGCTACTCATTATCCGTGTTCTGCACATGAGGTACCACACTGAAGCTTTGACAAATTTGCCCGGAATTCCACGTGGCCTGGCTCCCCCTAGAAGTCGGGCTCTCTATCACTTATCTCTGGGGCACAAATATGGCTTCGGAACACTTGGAGACACGAGCCCAGAGTGAGTGTGCTGGCAGCCTGCATCCTGGCTCCTGGAAGGCCACGGTCAGACTAGGGAAACTGGTCCTGGTCCTTGGGGCCAAGTTCCAGGTGAGGCCATCCAGGCCTTTGGCAGGCCGGTGTACGGTAGTTTCTGAGCCTCCCAGGCATATGGGGCCCCCCAACTCTGCAGGACAGTGAGGGGGGGGGAGGGGGGCTTTGTAGCTGGAGGATGGAGGGAAGGACTTCGAGGACTTACACTCAATGAAGGGAACGATGACCTGTAAGACATCAAGAAGGACAGAGATATTGGGAAGAGAATGTTACTCCCCGGGAAAGGCCCCCGGGGTTCGTGTATTCCCTAATCTCCACCCATCCTCATCTCAGCGTTGCTCTTGGATGTCCCACTGCTACCTCAAACTCAGTATACACCAGATAAAGACATTGTTTTGCTTTCCAGATGGATGTCCACTCCTGGGCCCGCCCTCCCTGTCTGTCCTGATTCTGCTGCATCTGGGCCTCAGCTGCCCCCTGCTCACCCAGTCCTGCATCCTGTGTGGTCCCCTGGATGAAGGGGTACCCATTCCTTCACTCCAAGGTACCCCCTGCCCGGCAGGTGCTCCTAGAAGGCCAGCTTCTACTTCATCTAGAGGCGGCGGCCTTGCTGCTCCTGACCGGTCTGTGGACCAGCAGCATGGATGTGTGCTAACAACAAGGCCTGAGGGCCGGAGGAGCGGGATCTGCATTTAAAAAAGCTCTCGGGTGATTTATTGGCACATGAGTTATTGGCACAGGGATATAGGATGTGCCCAGCTGCTCTGACTGAAATATCTCAAATTCTTTTGATCTTCCATTTTCTGTTCCCGGTGCCAGTTCACACTGAGCTGGTGTAACTGGCTCCGTAACTCACATCCCTGGGGTTGTGTCTGAGTCCCATTCCTTTCCCTGTAGTTTGGGCTTTTATCAGCCCCTTCCTTCGGTGCCTGCCTGTGACTCCAGCACCTCTCTAGCACTGCCTGAAAAATAAATGTGTGTGTGTGTGTGTGTGTGTGTGTGTGTATTTTTTTTATTTTATCTTATTTTTGGTTTTTCAAGACAGGGTTTCTCCGTGTAGCTTTGCGCCTTTCCTGGAACTCACTTTATAGACCAGGCTGGCCTCGAACTCACAGAGATCTGCCTGGCTCTGCCTCCCGAGTGCTGGGATTAAAGTCGTGCGCTGCCACCACCGCCCGGCCTTAAATGTATATTTTTAAGTGGGTCAGCATCCATCAAAATAAGACAGCGAAGAGCAGACTATGCAAAGGCATTGCAGTAGGACCCAGAATTGAGGCAAGGGCTCAGGAGTGGAGCCTGCAAGAAAGGCTTCTTGGTGCCTTGAAGCATGTGTAAGATTTAAATAAACGAAGAAAGATCAGGCACCACCAAAAGCCACTCAGGACTTCCCACCACCTTCAAAAGAGGGAAATAACAATCATCCGGACCCAGCTTCAAAGGCTTCCCCCTCCCGGACTGTCCTGCGTGCTCACCACCATTTGACTCACCTCCCACTGTCCCCTCAGCTGAAGCCCCTGCCCCACGGCAGTCCTAGTCCTTAGGAAGTTTCGAGTTTCGAGATGGACAGGGATTTAGACACCCTACGATGCTGACCATAGACCAGGGGTGCCATGCATGGAGAAGGGGGTGCTGAGTACTGAGGAAGATGTCCCCCTACAAGGTCTGAGATGCATCCTGAAAGCTGAGAGACAGGTGATGCTGATGAATGAAAGAGCCCAGGAGGTGAAGAACATGGGGGTGGGGTGGTGGTGGTGGTGAGCAGGGCTCTGAGAACAGCCAGGGATCTGGAAAGGCTGGGACACTCTAGGGGTAGGCACGAAGCCAACAGGCTTCAGGACAGATGGGGAGCAATGCCTCTCCATAGTTTACCCCTCAAGTCTTACTTTGGTGGGTTCGAGCCAACTTAAAAATATATATTTAAGTCAGGTGTGGGGCGCACACCTTTAATCCCTGCCTCTGGGAGACAGAGGCAGGGGGATCTCTGTGAGTTCAAGGCCAGCCTGGTCTACAAAGCGAGTTCCAGGACAGCTAGGGCTGTTACACAGAAAAATCCTGTCTCAAAACAAACGAAAAACAAACTAACAAACAAAATGTATATTTATTTATTTATTTATTTATTTTTTAAGATTTATTTATTTACTTTGTATACAGCATGTATGACCAGAAGAGGACACTAGATCTTATTACAGATGGTTGTGAGCCACCATGTGGTTCCTGGGATTTGAACTCAGAACCTGTGGAAGAGCAGTCTGTGCTCTTAATCTCTGAGCCATCTCTCCAGCCCGTATATTTATTTTTCTTTTATGTGTATGAGAGTTTTGCCTGTGTGTATGTATGGACACCACACGTGTACCTGGTACCTGAGGAACAGAATAGGGTTTTGGATCCATCCCCTGGAGTTGAGGTTACAGATGGCTGTGAGCTGCCACGTGGATGCTGGGAATTGCATTAGGGTCGTCTGCAAAAAACTCCAAGTGCTCTTAATTGCTCAGCCATTTCTCCAGCCCTGCCAGTCAGTTTTTAATGCAGAAGTATCTTGATTCTTCTACTAAGCTGTAAATACTTTGCAACCAAGGACTGTGTTACACTGTTTCCCATATCTGCCGCTCCCAGTTGGGTAATTGGTTGTCTCATGTCACAGACTGATAATTTTTACTTTAGTTGACCACTAGGGGGCAGCAAGTCACAACTTTTAATTCCATCCACAAAATTTAGCATCCCTGCTGAAGATGGATAGGACTTTGCCCAGATGTGTGGTAGGTAGGCCATGTTTCTGGGAGTTCCTGAAGCATCTGGTGGGTAGGTGGGGGGAGGAGACGAATCTCATGCTGGAGAGGATTTATACGATGCCATTATAACATCAGTGAACCCTCCCCTGCTTCCACACACACCGCTGAGGTTTGCTTGCAAGACAGAGGCCTACCATGTGACCTGCAGGAACAGGGCAGTGAAAGCCTTGGCCTTTTCTTTGTTTTTTTTTTTTTTTTTGCATTTGTTTTTGTTTTTGTTTTAATGAGACAGGGTTCCAATTTGTCTCTCAGGCTGGTCTGGAGCTTTCTATGTAGCCCAGCCTGACCTTAAACTTGCAGCACTCCTTCTGAGACTCCTAGATGCTCGCATGGCAGATATGAAGCCACCACACGGGCCTTGAAAGCCTTAGCCACTCCCCTGGGATGTTTCAGAAGACCAGGCCTTATGGAAAAGCCTTGTAAGACTTTCCCTTGGATGCCCCAGGGCTAGTGTTGTGGATTTCTATCCAAACTTCTGCCTCTCGAGGAGCTTCGTGAGCAGGAGAACGAAGTCCCTGTGTTCCCATACAAGTCCTGTCAGATCTGGGACAGAAGAACTCAGTGGTGGCCAGCCCAAGGGACAGGAGTCACCAAAGAGGACAAGTTATTGTCCACTAAGGAATTCTGAGGGTCTGCTCTCTGAGTCCAGGGTTTTATGATACCCCCCTCTACACCCATCCTCCTACCTGGAACCCAGATATTTCTGGGAAAAAGCCTCATACTCACAGGAAGCAGCTGGAACATTGGTGGCTCAATCATGCAGGCTGGGCGTGAGCAGACAGCAGCTGGGGGTGGATCATGGCCAAGGGCATCATCCGTCCCTGCTAGAGAAGAGGGGGGGTTAGTGGGAGGTGCATGTGGATGTCGAGTGGCCAGACAAGCTGGAAGGCCTTCAAGACTTGGACGATCATATTCAATTCCACCCCATCCTC